AGACTTTATTCTTATATCCGTTATCACTCGTATATATAGTATTCGATGACCACAGTGGCCTCTCATTCAAACTTGAAATATAATGGCTCATTCCCTCTCCTTTGACAACCCCCTCAGGTTAAACGTTGGAACTTGCCGCTGGTGGAACAGTTAGGGATTGAACCACTTATCAAGACTGTAGATTCCTTGATAAGTTCCTAATACGATATGCCGCTTGACCGAGAGTGTGTGTGGGATTCTCCCAGCCATTTTAGACTCTTGGAAATTTCGATTCACTGGGAAAGTAGAGCAATGACTAGTTTTATTCTAAAAAACCTTTGAAAAAGCCATATTTGCTTGCGCACGCTCCGAAAGACCAAGCTTGAACTACCACGCTATCGTTATATTATTCAGGATTAGCACTCACTCCACGGAAAAACTTATTAATATTGGAGAAGATAAAGGGATTCTGGACTATTTGCATCTATGAAGGCAAACCTAGAGCCACGGTATGTTTAGGTGTATTTGTTTGGAAGCGTGTTCATACTTCACTTGAGCACTTGTTTTGCGCGACTGATCGGATCGCGAAGTATGAACGCGCTTTAATGAAATTTGTTTGTGACCTCTCAGTGTTTTTTTCGCTGGTGTTAGCTGCAGCTTCGTGTTGAAGACAAGAAAGCTGCCTTAGCTGACGAAGAGAAATCCACTTGTAGATCACAGTACCAGTTGTCCGTCGCTGTATGCCAGCGGTACTGTTTTGAATATTTTCTGTTTTGAAGCTCGTGAACTCTGCTCATTATCCGAAGATCGAGAACGGATTGCCGTCGTTCCTTGACGTACATCGTGATCTTCTTATAATCACCGATCTAGGTATGGTTTCTTATTACTCCTTTCCCGATTGGTTTACATTAGATCCAAAAACATCTATAGATTAGGGTGTCGACAGTCAAAGGCGCGCCGCGCATTCATTCTATGTTCAGACACCCCCTTTGGTCATGTGAGTCCTTAACCGCATGGAAGGAGCATGCGGACTACACTTGTGCTCAAAAATACGCGAGGAAAGCCCGATCCGAAGTAGCGCCGAGGTTGCGGCTCCGACCACTGG